TTTTATTTTTTTTTTAGAATAGACAGTTCAAACTTTACTTGTGTAACATTCTAAGATATTATTCACAGATAAAAAGAGATTATTCTAACGACGAAAGAATTTTGAAATCGGCCCAATTATTTTTGTTATTTCTATAAATAAAAAATCTTTTCTCTTTATAATATCAGTATAGACAGATAACTTTAATTTATAAAATAATTTCAGGACAAATCAGCAACAGTCGGTTCTATTGTGAGCAAGCTGGGCTGGGCGGGCGTGTGGAAGGGACTCGGCACTAGGATCGTTATGATCGGTACATTGACTGCGCTGCAGTGGTTCATCTTCGACGGCGCTAAGGTTTGTACAGTAATCTGAAAACTATTTCAAATTATTGTGTAACTCGTTGGTTACTTTTTGATTTATGGGTTCTTGTTTTTTTATAGGTTGTTTTAAGAACACCACGACCACCACCAGCTGAGATGCCGGAGTCGATGAAGAAACGTCTCGAAGCCGAACAAGCGGCCAAAGATAATTAAATCAGGAATCCCAAACCCAGCTAACATTAATCTCAGTATATTGGTTGAAAAAAATATGTGGAAAAATGATGTACTTTAGTGCAATTTTAATTTATTGCCCGTACTAAATTGGCATTGCATTTATAAGCCACGGCTATTTGAAGATAGAAAATAAATGTATATGTAGTAGAATGTACGTAGTGTAGGAACAGTTTCATAATTGTATTTATCGATATTAAATAATTTTATATTATTTTGTCTTTACATTGTTCCCAATAAACAAAGTAGAAACAGCAATATATTGCTGCAGAGTATAAACATGGCAGTTGTGAAATTTCGAAAACGATATATCAAACATCTTGCTTGTTACAGCACATTGAAAAGATTGTTTGATCTAAAAAAAGGTAATGAATACTTTTCTACAGGTATTATTAGTTATTAGTTTAGGATTTATGCTTTTATCAAACCAAATGCTGCCCTATCCTTGTAAACTTTGACAACTGTTAAATTAATTTAAGGAGTTTAAATTTCAGAAATAAAACAAAGAAAATTCAAGTTAATTTTTTAATGAACTTAAATCTCGTCTGCTACAACAGTAGTCTTCTCAGATACATATAAACCATCCAAGAACTTTCTGATGTCTTTGTTTTTGACCATGGTGGACTGTTGGATGAGGGCTGCTGAGCTGGATACATCTTCGATGGAGTTACCTTCAATGATCAGCTCATCCTTTTGTTTGGGAGAGTTGACCACTGTCACACCGGGAGCCATCCTTACCCTCCTAATGTACTTCTCTCCAAGGAAGTTACGGATCTCAATCAATGTGTTGCCTTCGGTGGTCACACAATTAATGGGGAAGTGAGCGTATACTGCACGCATTTTATACTGGAATCCCTTTGTTACACCTGAAATAAGTAAAAAAAAACTATGATATAGCACTAAAAGGAATATCGTTTTTATAAACTACAGATTAAAATTGTTAGTTTTAGGTTATTAAATATAAATATAATATCCAATTTTAAATAAAATTAGGTGCTTAACACAGAGATTGCCACTCATATATAAAAAATATACTGAACTAGCTTTTTTTTTTTATAATATAAGGTGGCAAAGAAACAACCGGCCACCAAAATGGAAAGCGACCGCTGCCCATAAACATCCGCAATTGCAGATGCGTTGCCTATCCTTCATTGACGGAAGAGGAGAGGCACATAAAGAGGAAATTTTCCCTTTCTATATGTCTCCACCGTCAAATCCACTTTTCCTTCCCATCCTTTCCTCTCAAGAAAAGGGTGGAAAGGGAAAGGGATTAAATTAGGCCTCCGGCACCACACTCATCAGACGAAACGCGGAATTGCTTCAACTTCACATCTGTTTTCTGTGTGGTTGTGGTATTACCCCGTGCAAAGATGTTAAAGCGGGCTCTACCACTGTTTTTTTGCCTGTGGCTCCTTCCATGTGAAATAAAAAAACAAATGTGGCCTATGCATTCTTCCAGATTAAGTTCTACATCAATGCCAAATTTCATGGTGATCCAGCCCTTTAGGATACAAAGTCTAACAAACATCCATCTATCCATCAAGACTTTTGCATTTACAATATAAGTACATGTTAAATAAATCATGCATCTAAATTTAACTACATATTGTTGTTAAATATTAATCATTGATTGATTTAACCCTTCTGACAAAATTACAAATGATTTCTTCCTTACAGCATTAGATATAGTCTACTCTACTAAAACTATAAAAAAGAAAAATTGATTAACTAGATTGTTTGCATTCCATCTGATTTTTAGAATATGCATGAAACATTATTATGTTCCTATTTGTGGAACAGATTTTAGTAGACAGATAACCATGTTTTCTTTCATATTTACGAAATCTATATAAAGTTATCATTTCCAGATTCCATTTAGGCTAGTCTTAGGCTTGAAAGCTTTTATCATCCTTATTATAATAATTTCGATATCAAGTGAACAGTAACAGTTTTTTTAAATGAAATTAAGTTTAATAACAAGGTATGCTACCTTGTGTAATAAATAAGACACTATCAATGTTTACAATTATTTTTAAGCAATTATTAGTCGCGTAAACAATATAAATAAATTAATAAACCCTCATAACAGGCCCTAATAAGAACTAAATAACGCATGCCAATGTTTATGGGACAATAAAAACAAATGTCTTTTTACCTTTAATCATATTCTCCACATGAGAGCAGACCGTTCTCACCGCAGCGAGTTCCTTTTTCGATCCGAACCATTTCTCCACTTTCAGTAACCGAGGGTTTACCATGCGAATGTCAACAGCTAAGTGTTTGAAATTTCTTTTAAGGGTTCCTCGGGGCCCTTTCACTGTCACCAGTCGAGACTTCACATGAACTGTGAGCCCGTCAGGGATCTTCACCTTCTGGTTAGCAACTATTTGCTTCATGTTGTGGCCTAAAATAAGATGTATTTATGAACATAACCTATACGACAGTTTGACAATTAATTGTATATGTTTTACGTCTATTTTTAATAAAATATTTAGAGAAACATTGGAAGCATAACAATATACACTGCTTTCAAAAATATTTCACTGAAACCACTAGGAATTAATAAGATTAATACAGATTTTAACATTAAAAACAGAAACTCTGCTTACTTTCAGTGACACAGAGAGCCGGAAAAGAATTTCAGGGTTGCCAGCTCGCCAATCCTAGTGTCAACCAGTGTTGTCTGTAGGACGACTAGGACGAGGCGAGGCTAAAAACTTAAAGGTTGAATTTATCTTGTGGTGAAAAAGCTTAACTTCAATTTCAAAAGTTTTTTGATTAGATTTTTTTGATGAACAGATTGTAATGGTGAACTTCCACTCTTTGAAAAATTATTACAAAGACGTAATATCTCAATCTCCTCAAAAAACTCAGTCGCCTTTTATTGTGCCGTTCAAACTGTTGCTCTGAATATTATGCAGTACAAAAGTATTTTCACGTAAATTTGTACATACTATCTAAAAGAGACATGGAAAGACTTAAAATACATTGAATTGAATTTTTTGTGCATAAACCCGAACATTTTGACTTTGACGATTTGTTGACATATTAAGAAAAATGTCAATGTCAAAATTGATTGAAGGTTAGGTTTTCTTTTCAGTGTTGTGATTATAATTTATTTTGTTAAATATCTTTACTAAATGTCTGTATAAACTTCGGTTAGAATTTTTATACTAACGTCTTATACTTATCCTTGAATTTAAAAAACATAGGCTGTAAGAATCTATAATGATATTTAAGAGGTTAATTCGCACAGAAATTCAACTGTGTTTACGAGTTTTTAGCAAAGGTTATTATTAAAAATATATTATATATTAGTAATTTTAATTTAACAGTAAAAATGCCAATATGTTTAAAGGTTTAAGTACGAAGCCGCAGTGGGATATTATAACAGGGGTATGCGTTGAAAGGTTACCCGTTATTACTCCACCATTAAATGACTTACAAAAAAGGTATAAAGAGTTATTATGGACCATAGAAGTTGAGAAAAGCTTAAAGTCAGATCACGAGATAAGGCATGAAAATGATAAGTAAGTACTTACCAATAAATCTACAAATAAATATGCCTTAAAGGGATCTGAAACTCCAAGATTTTAATAATGTTATTGAGACGTTGACATTAAAATGTGTTTCTACAGAATCCAAGCTGAACTTTTGAAGAGTGATACTCACGATGTTGATTTGGATGCTGTAAGCAAAATAACAGCTCAAGATTTGGAAGATGCAGCAAATGAGGAATTTGCACAATTTAAATTTGGAAGTATTGAAACCGGTAAACAGACATACAAAAAATTATTTACTTCCTTTATACATAACATTCATACAAAATTAGAATAAGATGAATTAAGTGAAAATTATTGTTTTATTGCACAACTAGCTTTTGCCCGCGATTCTGTCAGCATAGAATTGACAAAACAAAAGTAAATAACCTATGTGTTCTTCCAGACTGCTCTACATCTATGCCAAATTTCATCACAATATGTTCAGCCATTAAGGCGGTAAACTCTAACATCTAAACATCAACCCATCTAAACTTTTGCATTTATAATATTAGTAAGATGTTTACAGAAGCAGACAAGAAGGGTGACAAAACAACAACTGACAGATGTCTTCAGAGACATCTGGTGCTTGTTGCACCAGTTCAATTGGGTGATGATGTTAGAACAATACTCCCACAAGGCAAATGGCAAGAAGGAGAGACATTAAGACAAGTGAGTTACACAATAATAATTATTAACTGTAAAGGACACAAAAGGTATTTTTACAATCAGAAATAAATTTCCTAGCCTATTTGAACTATAAAAACATATTAAGTACTTGTTTCGGGTTATTCTATCAACAATATTTTAGAGGTAAAATTACTTATAACACACACACAATAAAAACAACAGAGCTAATGTTTTTCAGTGATAGTATAGCTTTGAGTTTATTTGATACAAATGTTGCCTTTTTGTAATATTAATACATATGGATTGTTCTTGTTTCAATAATAATAGACTTCAGTTAGTTACATTTTTCTAATAAGATGATGTGATCTAATATGATTTTTCTTCTGCAAGAACTTTAATAGATATTTCTTTCCAGACAGCTGAAAGGGTATTAGAGGAACACTGTGGGAAAAATCTTAAAGTTCAGTTCCTGTCAAATGCACCATGCGGCTTCTATAAATATAAATATCCAACTAGCTTACAAACAGACAAAAGTATTGGTGCCAAAGTAAGTTGAGTCAAACTTATGTGTACTGACATAAAACTCTGATCACTTAATAATTCTGAGTGTAGCATTATATTGATAATTTTAATCTAATCATCTTCCTTCTTATTCTACTCCGGTAGGCGGCGACAGGTTTTTGTCCTCCACATAACTCTATCATATGTCATCTCAGTCATCTATGGATGAAAGGAGACTACATGTGACAGAAATGCGAATGTTAAGATGGATGTGTGGGGTAACACGAATGGATAAGATACGAAATGAGTATATTAGAGGAAGTTTGAGAATAGCCCCTGTAGTAGAGAAGGAAGGAGTAAAAGGTTAGCATGGTATGGGCATGTTATGAGGAGGGATGAATCGCATGTTACAAGGAGAATGTTAGTTATGAGTGTGGAAGGGTACATCGGTAGAGGTAGACCTAGAAAGATGGATGGATTGTGTAAAAGGTGACATAATCAAAAAGGGAGTGATGACTGAAATGACGTATGACAGAGTTATGTGGACGACAAAAACCTGTCGCGCCGACCCTACGGGAGTAGGATAAGGGATGATGATGATGTCATCTCAGTCATCGCTCCATTCTTAAATATGTCACCTTTCATGCAATCTGTCTATCTCTTTCTAGGTCTACCTCTACTGATGTACCTTTCCACACTCATAACTAAGTTTCTTGTTACATGCTTTTTTTATCTAATGTGTAGTTTTAAACATACACAACACACAGTCTACAATAAATATTCGTAAAATTAATTTTCGCATACATTACAGGTTTTCTTTTACTATGCCAATTATAAAGGAGGTGCATTAGAAGGCAAGGATAAGAAATTCAACTGGCTAACTAGAAATGAATTAAAAGAACTTTTACCAGCAAAGTATAATAAGTCTGTGCAAGATTTTTTGATTGAAGAAACTTGGTAATTTATGTAGGCAAATAAATGTATTAGTTAATCAGAATTGTTTTACTTTCATTTCTTTCAGTTCTGTAATTAAGTAATTTATGTTAACACCAATTCCATCTAAACATTATTCGGAAAATTTGTAAACACAAATGTACTGCCGAAGGGCAGTATTCGAAAACATACTCTCAAAGTTGTTTGTTTTGTACAATCTTTTTGGTTTAATAAATATTCTTTCATTCCTTTTTTTTTCAACTAACATACGGAGGTCCGATTGGCCCATACAAATATAAAGAGTGTGCAGTCAAAAAAGAAGAATTAGCTAAAGTCTAGGTATTCTGTAATGTTTTCGATGTTTATTATGGATAGAAATTAATTGATATGATTCTTGAGATAACATCAATTTAATCCAATTCCTACGTTCGAGAATACACGATGTTCTGTAATAAAATACTGTACAAAACATAATAATGGCTGATGTTAATATTTCCTTATAAATATTTTGAGTTAGATTTTAAAACAGTAAACAGAATCTAGGAAGACATTGAACATTGTATTTGAAAATCGCGGCCCACCAACAACAAATGATGTAACTCAGCCACACCACGGACGCGGCTTCCATCCCGCACGTTCCTTACCCACGTCCTAAACACTAATATAAACATGTTATTATTTAAAAGATCCTCTTTAGTGCGCAGTTAAATGCTACTTCCCACATTTACATTGAAACAATATTTAGCGAGAAGCCAGCGCGGGAAGCGCTTCGCAGTAATGCTTCGAAATAGAAGTTTACTCAAACAATGAGCGTGATTTACGAGTAAACAGATTTCGATGCTCGGTCCCGAAATTTCCAGGGACTGAGTCTGGAGAGAAGTTTCATTTTAAACCTTATAAACCGGTCACATATAAGCAGTTATCGTTTAATTCGTTGCCTTAAGAATGGAATCGAAATCGCTTTTGAAGTTTGCTTTTATCGCCATGCGATGAAAGTTTAATTTACCTCGGTGTAAATGGGTTAAGATTGAACGTGTTAGCTCTCCTCAAGGCTCCCGGCCGTCTTTTCCGATTCGTTTACAAACACATCGGCGGGCTGTTTTTCGTTTGGCCGGTGCTAAATTAAATAATTTCTATTGGAAAGTAAATAAGCGAGATGATTGTTTTATTGTTTGCCTTGAGTAATTGTTTTGTATCATTACATAACAAAGATGTAATTTCACGAATGTTCATACACGTTTTCAATTGTTTAAGAAAACGTTTGCTATGTTTAACAACGTACTGACTAAACTTTTGCTGATTGAACAAACGAAATGAATTGAATACGAGTAGTATCTAGATTTCGTGTAACAATCTGATAGTGCCATTTGGTTTGAAATAAGAATTCATTTTAGATCTTATCTAGAAGATCGCATTTAAGAAAGATATTAAAATATTCCTGTCTAAGTAAATTAAACACCAATAAGAAAGTAACTTATAAACTAATAAAAATAAAATGTAAAGCATTTGTGAGAACAGTCGGTCTTCCACATTAATTTGTGCCCCGCGGGGTGCCCACCTGTGGCTTCGGACTATCATAATTGATAAAATTCTTAACACACATAACAATTCCGTCCCCACATTCTCTAATTTCATGGATGACTCGGGAATGTGGTCGGTGTTTGGAAAATATCAACAGTTATAAGGGTGACCACGTTTGTTAATTAATTAGCTTGTGAGTTATTGCTATTTTAATCATTCAGGCGAAATGATCGTCGAAATAGTCCAATAATTATTTTTTACAAACGGATAAACGGTGTTTTTTTGTTCTTTTAATTAGGTATTTTATAGTGATATGACTTTATGAACGTAAAGCAATTAAAATTAACAATTGTGTTTAATCATTAGGTAAACTTAGCCTCAGCTTTTCGCTGCAGAGCGGCCTCTTCTAAGAAAAATTTCTTCTTGGTAGGCGTCTCAAAAATATATGAACACAATATGTAACAAGTGATTTAAAAAAAACTACCACACTAGCAATAACAATTAGAAAGTAAGAAACTATTAAAGTTAGAAAAGATTCTTTAAATAAAGAACCTGAAATAACTTTAGGCTCCAATCAGTACAATAGTTATAAAAGACACTCAAATGTTCAAAACTGGCGTTAGTCTTAATGACCACACGTCGTTATTTAAAGTTGAAAGGGAAGGCCGCCGGGAATCACATAATCTGCGTCAAACTTAGATAAACTGGGTAATAGAGAACGAGAAGGCCATTGTTCCACTGTTAATGGACCACCGGCCGCTCCCAGACGAGCGACTCGCAAAAACTGCTCAGAAATGTTCGGCATCGAAAAAAGAACGCGTAAAACAATATATTTCATCATTTAAGGACTTCGTTGGAATTAGCTAAAGTATTTTATCTTTTGCTTTTCACAGTTCGATAACGGTGGCGGTGTTAAATCGTTGACAAGACAAACTTATCAGAGAAAAGTGATAGCCGTTACTGAGTTCCAGTGATAATGGAAACTATGCTATCATATAAGTAGAACTATGAAAGGCGGAGGCGACGCCACTCGCTACCTTTTATTCCTTTCTTCTTGTAATTACTTTGTTAATGAAAACAATTAAAGATACTTTGTTATGGTTTTAGAGACAATGCTTTCAGTATTTACATTGTTTGGGGCTTAAGGAGCTGTAGGTCAAGGGCCTGACGTTTGCTTTAATCTACGGTAACGTTATTTCATTTTTCAGAAGCCTTTGAAATATTTAGCAGAAAAATTAAATCTCTGTTATCCATGGTTTTAACCCTTATTATAAGAATAAAATGTAATAAAAAATGCGAAACACTAACGAGATAAGGAATGTCTTACTGTTATTTAGAAGATAAATAAGCGACAAATGAATATAGAGACAATGCAAAAATGATGAGGAATTTGTGAGGGGAGTGTAGCGCAAACATCCCTTTGTAGATTACTCTACATTCCTGAGATAAGGTGTCGATGCCGACCACCTTGGGCCGCGTCATCGTATAAAACACGAATCCCATTTGTATTGTTTCCTTCGTCACATCTTTAGGAATGTATTTCGATATTGTTTTTAAGTATTGGGAACACTTTGGGCGTTACTGATGTAGATAAAAATACAAAACATTACCTAAGTATACAATAACGATAGTCTAAAGTTCAACTAGAGACGTGTTTGCATACGTTAATTGTTGGAAATAACCTGCAAATTTTTTGGTAATGCTACCATAGAGATAAATGGATGTAACAGTTCTTGTAAAAATATATTTGAAAATGTAAACTGAAACACTAAAACCAGAAGAGTCAAAAAACTTCAAAAATTCTGTGCTGAATTGATTCAGGAATTTGCGTAATCAATGATTTATTTTATCTTTAAAATACAAATAAATAACTGGATACAAAAATTCGCTCTCTTTCGTACAAATCGAGATCGGAAATAATCGGTTCGCTTCTCGAAATAAATTGAATTGCATTCCCATATGTTTTTTGTACAAACAAAGTGTATGTCTGTATAAACATGAAAATAGCAGAGTCAGGTTGTTTTTCAGCTGTAAGTGAATACATCAGCGATGTGCGCCTACACTGCGCCCCGGCGTCTGCTCGCGTGGGCAAGGGGACCAAATTATGTTATAAATACCCAGACATGACCTACACTACAGAATTTATAGTTTGCAATACATGTGTTTCGCACTTCTAAATATTTCCACTTTTATCTCCTTGTCAATTTTTTAATTTAGTTGTATCTTTCTGTATTGGTTAGCAATGCGTTTCTCAAATGGAATTTCATCTAGTTGTTTTAATTTACAGGAATATTTAATTAAAATAAATATTTTAAAGAAGGGACACATTGTATTAAAGTCGGCGGGAAGATTTCATTGAGGAGGCAAATCAATTAACACCTAAGAAAACGATAACAATTCTTGTACACAACAGTCCGTATTAAAAATCAATCATACATTTAGGTGGGTATGCTGGCGTTGGGGCGCTGAGGCGGCGAGGCGGCGGAATGCACCGTGTGTGAGGCGCGGGTTAGACGCGGGTGAGGCGCGGGCGAGGAGCGGGTTAAGAGCGGCGGAGCGCGGCCAGGTGGGCTCCCATTAGCAGCGAGAGCTCCGAGCGGCCGCTCTTCATCTTTATGATAATTATTTTCTGTTTGTTTTCGTCGGGGAATCGGCCCGCCTCGGCGGACGCTTCTCGGAACCGACTTCCATTGTGGTAAATTAAAGCCGCCCGGACCCCTGCCACGACGAGAGATAATTCGACAGGATGCCGTATATTATTAATTGCACTATGACTTGTGGAAATGGAGCTCGGAGTTCAGTGAGTCATTCATTCCGCCGGCCGCGCCGCGCCGCTGCTGCGTGGGAACGACCCGCGATACCCACTTACAACCCCGACAAGATTATTTATATTTCATTTATAAAATAGTCACATTAACTACAAAAGATTTTATATAGATAACTGCCTTTTTGTGTAAATTTAACCTAATCGATAAATTCAGCGGGAATGCACCTACTTAACTTACAATTCGAATCAATTAAGCAGTGCAGAAGTGAGGCGATAAATTTCCAATTAAGTCGACCGGCAGCACGGCTCGGTACAGAGAGCTGGCTTCGTTAACTAGAGTTAACAAGGTAATAAACAGAGGATACGAAGCTGCGATTAATAAAAACAAAACCGTAAATAAGCCGAATGCTGTAATAAAAAAGAGGAACCTCGTAATGTTTACAATCTTGTGGCTTTATTCACTTTGTGTTCCAATTTCATGCTAAATCGAGCGGATAAAATCCTTCTTTATCAGGCAGACTCACCGTCTCGGCGGAGGCCGTCCCTCCTCCTCTTCCCGTGCCCCGCGCCGACCTCTCCGCGGTTCATCCGTCTGCGGACCGCGTAAGCCGCCATTAAAAACGAATCACCCTCAATGAACCATACCGCGTTGAAATTACTTATTTATGATAATTCAATTTGCCTGAATTAGCTTTCCTAGAGAAAAGATAATAATTATAGAATCAAAATATAAACAGGTAGAATTTTAGTTTAGTTAATATAAATTGTACA